GAAGAAGCTTCTTTTGGATTGAGCACGTGTGTGTGGTTTTGCGTGGGTGTGTGTATAGGGGGTTGTCTTTTGTACACCTTTTTTTTTCTTTCAACTTATTTGTAGTAATACACCATGTATATTTTTTAGTGATTACCCTACAGTTTATCATGTAAATTTAACATGTAAAGTTAATGTCTTTACTCCCCTCTAGAATAAAGGCCTTAGGATGTTTTAGCTCAGTACCTCCCTCCCAAATTATAAAGTGTTGTTATTCATTACTTTAGTTCTATCCTGTACTCTTCCTATATAAATTAGAGTGTTTTTTAGACCCACCGACATATGTAAAAATGTCTTGCTTATTATCCTCAGATCTTTTTTTCTGTACTATTTTCTTTGTGCTTGAAATAAATTCTATAGAATTTCCCTTAGTGAGAGAGGGTGATGTGGTAAAATCCCAGTTCATTTTTCCCTAGTACCTGAAATACTTTTACTTTGGCCTCATTTATTCAAGATAAGTCTACTGAATATATAGCTTTAAGTTTAAATTAGTCTTTTTTTTTTTTGCTGGTCTCAAAATATAGTTATCTTCTGGATTCTGTTGCTACTGAAAAATTTGCTGTCTATCTATCAATAATTGCTGGTTAAGATCTATTTTTCTTCTGTGTCCTGAGTTTCACAATGATGTGCATGTTTAAAATCTTCTCCTGCGTAGGCCATTTGGGCTCTTTCTGGATTTGTGGCCTAGGTGTCAACAATATTAAAAAGTTACACTATTTTCTTGTCAAAGGTTAACTGGGTAAGAATGTAATCTACTTTTCATATTTCATGAATACTTATAGTTATTTTTTGCTTAGATCACAAATTTTCAAAGGTTTTGTGGTATTTTGTAGAAACCTTATAAAATCTTCATTTGCTACAGAGAAAAAAAATTTTTCAGCTCACATTTCCATGTGTTAAGATTGATAGCACAATTCATATAAATTTAGAAATAAACCTATTTTGTCCTTATCCTTCAGAGACTATAATAAGGAAAAAGAAAAAATAAAGCTGGTATTTGAAAACTCCACCAATTCTTCTTTATTTCTGTCAGTTCTTTTCTGCTCCTAAGGCAGAACTTTGGATAGAAGTCTTACCACTAGTATAAACACTCTGAAACTTTATTTTCACACCATCTTCATGACTTTTGCTGTAGCTGTTTTATTTTTATTTATCTGATTTTAAAAAGCTGATGTTCTAAACAATATTCAAAAAATCATACATTCTATTATATAAAATATTAAATAACTATATTATTTAACAGTATTGAAATTAATAAATAAATCTTAATGATTAAATATTAAATAATATTCAATATAAATTATTATCAATTAATTATAATAATTTACTATTATTGATTATATAATATATAATGTTATTAATTGTATTATATTAATAATTATATTAGTTAATTAATAATTAAATATTAAAATTTAAAATTCAAAGCACTGTTTGTCAGTGTATGACTTCAAATCATATTCTCCCAGTGCAACAAGTAACATATTTTTGGAAAACACTGGATTAGTAGAATTTTTTTATCTAGTTTTTGGATATGCATTGTTAGGCTCAGGCAGTGTATTAGGCAGTGTTCTGCGTAATAAGAGTAATTGAACTTGAAGGGGAATACCAAACAAGACTGGAGAAGTGGAAATCTGGGAATTCAGAGAAAAGAAGTAGCATTGCAAAATAACAAAAAGTTGTTGTGTGAAGTAAGAAAGGCTGTCTGAGTACATTGGAATCATCTAGTACATTGGAATCATTGTGTGACTTAAAAGGTCATATTCCCAGTCGTACCCAAACCAATGATAGCAACCAGGGTAAGAACCAGATGTCACTGTTTTATTTTTTTAATGTTTCTCAAGTTACTCCAATATGCAACCAAAATTGAGCTTTGCTCCTCAAAGTGTGACCCTCAGAACAGAAGCTTTGCATTACCATGGGTCACATGGGTATGGCCATGTTCCATGTCCTCTATGACCCTAAACCAGAATTTGCACTTCACAAAATCTCTTGGGACTCACTATCACATTCAAGTCCAAGAAACATTGGCACAGGGATACTTGCCATAAACATCTTGCCTCCTTGGATTTGATAGCCCCTCACCTTTCAGGGACAGACTCCTTTTCCAACGTCTTTTGTGATTAGACCTGGGCATGTGACCTATATAGCCAAAGTAATGCACCTACCCTGAGTCTTGAAAAGGGAACTAATCATACCAGAAAGCAGTGACTACAGGAAAGACGCCCTGGAGAAGAGTAGCAGCAGGAGCAGAGCCAGAGAAGTTGTGTCCATGCTCTCCATTGGGCCACCTGTGATGCAGTTCTGTGCCCTGAAGTGGGAGCTGGAGTTT